GGGCACCACTTCTAAGGTTCTAAGATAGTCGCAGGAAGACCCCTAAGGCTAGATCCTAACTCCTACGAGGAATACTAGACCTCACGAAAATTGAGGTCAACAGTACTCTACTTTTTTAATTCCCTTCCTTGGTTTCCTGAAATTTCAACAGTTGTTTAGCAGTTCTTAAAGATGATTTAACTTGTTTTAGTGGGCATTTACCTCCTAAAACTATTTATTTTGCGGCTCCAATTGCTCTTATGCAAGGCTAAGAAGGGCTAAAAACAATTAAGGCTTCCTACGACACAAAAGAAAGCATCAAGGCGTGACAATGATTCAATTGGTGACTTAGATGATAAATTCTTTTCGGGTTTCCGTAAGTTTCATCATATATAATGGTATCTAAGACATGTAAGAATAATTCATTATAAAAGAAATTTTGCTTTGAATGTGAAAATTTTAAAATCTTTATGAAATTTAATTCCATAACAAGTGTAAGGCTTAAAAAATTTCCAGGAAAAGATATCTCTTCAAATAGGTGTGAAACTAGTTTTTCCAGGAACTTCTTTTTCCTGCTTTCTTCTTTTCTTTATTTCTATTATTACTATTTCAATGATCTTTTTGGGAATACTTGGAAAGTGAATTTGAGTTTTCCAAATTTGCTACAAATCAGATTTTTTATTTTTTTTGTGTGAGCTTTCATTCACACATGTTAATTTCATCTCTCTTTTCTTATCGTGAATTTCTAGCAAGGGGCACCAATCTTGTCATAATTAGATTGTAATGCTCTTTGAATTTCATTGAAGATAGTTACAAAAACAAGAACGACAACAAGCCTTTATCCCACTAAGTGGGGTCGGCTACATGAATCCTTTTTCTCGATCGCGTCCTATTGAGTGTCTTATTTTCATTTAATTCTAATCATTTTAAGATCATTTTTTATACAATATGCCCAAGTCTGTTTAGGCCGTCGACCTCTACAGGTCTTGACACAAATCAAATCTAAAACATCCACTCTCCTAATCAAATCATCAGATGGTCGACACTTAATATAACCAAACCATCTAAGACGACTCTCTCTAATTTTGTCTACCATTGGAGCTACACTAACCCTTTCACGAATATATTAGTTTCATATTGTCTCTAAGTGTCAAGTCACTCATCCACCCAAGCATTTCGATCTCAGCAAAACTTAACTTAGTTTTATGCTTCTCTTTTATAGGCTAACATTCTGTGACATAAAGCATTGCAGGTCTCACCACAATCTTATAAAACTTTTCTTTAAGTGGTACTTTCTATCACACAATAGGACTGATGCATTCCTCTACTTCAACCAAGTAACTTGAATTCTATTAATAACATCCCCATCTATATCACCATCACTTTGAACAATAGACCCGAGACATCTAAAATATTCAGACCTTTTAATGATTTGATCACCCATAGTTACAACACTAGATCTACTGCTACTAAAATTACATTCCATGTATTCATTTTTAGATCTACTCAAACAAAGACCTTTAGACTTTGATGTAGACCTCCATAATTCAAGTTTTTACTGAAAACTTTCTCTGGTCTTATTCACAAGAAGAATATCATCAACGAAAAACATACACCACATAACTAGATATGGGCTTAAAGCAGATCCCCGGTGTAATACAACTGAAATAGGAAAATACTTAGTTAATCCTCCTGTTCGAACACAAATACTAGCTCTAGAAAGCATATCTTTAATGACTTGAATATAAGTCATATCAACACTTTTCTTTTAGAACTCTACAAAGAACTTCTCTTGGAACCTTAGTATAAGCTTTTTTTCTGAATCAATAAAAATCATATAATATCTTGTATTCTGTGTTATTTAGACTTTTTTGCATTATTTTCTACATTGTATATATATATATATACATATATATTATTTTTTCATAATTGCCGTAGAATTTTACTTTCTTTTGCATTATAACCAGGGCTATGCCTTTGCAATGAAAGCACCATCTTTACTTCTCAAACAAATTATTTAAATCATTTACCCCAAGAAACTAATATTCAAGATATACACAAGTAATTTAGTAAAGAGAAGGTAGAAATAATGAAGGAATATAAAGGAAATTGTAAATCAATATATTGCAGTTGATCCCATTAATAGCCTAGGTCCACTAAGTAAAGACTCCCGGAATTTTTCCAGTATCCTCACCATCCACTATCGCAAGGTAAGAAGTCTCTCTCCTTTATGAAGAAATGCTAAACCACTCCTAAAAATTGAAAGGCCAGCTACTCTAGCAAACTCGCTAGGCAATGAACCACTTTCAAAAGTAATTCTGAGATCCAAGATCCGTCTCTCAAGGTCAACAATCACGGCTCTCAAAAACCAAGTGAAGAATATGACAATCATAAGACGATTAAAAAATAAACTTACACACACAGTTTCTTTTTTGCATGATAGATTCAAGGCATCAAATCTCTTTCTATTTATTTATTTTTTTATTTTTTTTAGGCATCAAATCTCTTTGATCCATGAGAACTACTCATGAAACTCTATCAAATTCATATTTACTAAACAGAGTTTTATTTACTAAAACTGCATATCATGTGTTTAATCTTTACTTTGCTACCCATATGATTGTAATCATTTAAACGTGTTCTACATTTAAAAAATTCAGTTATCTTCTATAAGCATCTCTACAACATTACATAGAGAAATGAACTTAATATTTTTCCTCAATTTTTATCTTTTGTGATTGAAAACTTTTAATAGTTCCACATCTACTTTTAATACTATAATATATATCATCATGCATTAGTTGGATAACTTCTACAATTTTTCTTCATTAATATCCACCAAAGAAGTTATCAGGGCATTCTATTATACGCCCTTTCCCTAATAAATAAAATCTAGATGTACATCAGCTGATTACTCCAAGCTTTTTCACTAATCAACTATATCTTGCAAATATAAGTAGTGCAATATGCCTCATAAGGCGTCATCACAATCATATCAAGAACATATGCGCAAGATATATCGGTCAAAAGTTAAGACATGAAAAACTAAAAAGGCCTTCCAAATAAAAGATTGTTACAAAAAGCACCCACGTAAGAGGAGGATGCAAAGTTTGAAAGGAAAATGCCAGAATGACTATATTGATTATGATAAAACATTGGTTAATAATACAAAATTGCCATCAAACACATAGCTGCTTGTCAATGTTTTAGAACAATTATGCTTTCAAACTTTGCATAAAAATATATTCTTTAAATTGTTCAGACTAAACAAACCTGGTCCATTCAACATTTGTTCTATCCAATGTAGAAGAGTAAAACTGCAGCACAAGTCTGAATCTATGTGCAGCACTACTAGGGACTGTCAAAAGGACAACTTCTTGACCAAGTAAACCCGCCGGCATTCAGCTATCATATAAGCTGAATTTAGTCAATTTTCAGCTCACTCTTGTCTTCAACCTTTTGAGCAACTTTAAAGTTATCAAAATTGGAACTTTCAAATTTATTCTCATCTTTTTCAGCACTAGCTCCACTTGAAGAATGGTTCTTCAGAACAACAGAAATGTCTGCTTCAGACGCTCCAGCTAGCTTGAACCTCTCCACAGCTCCATCAAGAGTTTTCTTATAATCACCAAACCCAAGCTTAAACTCAACTTGAGAGCGTTCAAAAAGCAAGTTTCCCCAAAACAGATGTATCTGAGATCTCATCACTGCAGCCTGCTCTGCTGCCTCCTCAGCAGTTAGCTCTCCTTGACCATCCACTATCACCCCCTGTTTCTTTCTCCTCTTCAGAAATTCATCCTTTTTGTTCAAGCTCGGGTCTTTGAGTTCATTAATCCTCTGCTCTTCTGCCTTCTCCCACATCATAGTTGCAGCCTTCATCTTCTCCTCTGCACTATCAAAAAGTTTGATTGTCTCAGAAGAATCCCATGTTGTCAAGTCCACTTTGCTAGCTAGAGCAAAGGACCAATGCAGCTTTGCAGTCTCAAAATGTTGCTGTCCGAGTGCAAGCAATCCTTCATAGAAGTCTGGCTTTACCTTAAGAGCCTCGTCGTATTTCTGTCCAGCAAGATCATATCTTTCTTTAACCCAATCATAAGCTTCCTGAAGTTGAGCCGCCATGGCTGCCTTTGGCAAAGACTCATCCAAAGGTATGCGCTTTCTTGCTGCACACATATGTACATTGCCCCAGTTGAAGAAGGCAAGTGCTGCCACCTCCTGGAATTTAGCAGCAGAAATCTCAAAAAGTGCCTGAGCTTCTTTACTCGTTACTGTCTCCTCAAGTGCCTCAGAGCACAGCTCCATTCCAAGCTCATGAAGGTCCAAGTGTGCATCTGGGTCAATGCCAACCTGCTGACGGAAAAGCTGAGCAAACTCATAAAGCCAATCATCAATATCAACTTCCTTGCACTCAGAATGATCACAGCCCTTCCGCTCTTTCTCCTTCACCACCTGTTTGAAAAAAGTATTATTCATGGCAAAATCATCCTCTCCCGCTGCAGGTAAATCCCCAACCAAAGAAGGCGAAGGATTCTCATCATCCTTCAACAACACCTCCTTCTCAGTATCATTCACCTCTTCATCAGATACTGAAGGCTCTTGCTCAGGGTTCACCTCCACAACGTACAGCCTTAACACCTGAAGCTTTCCCTTTGATGCCTCCCCATTCCCTTCCTGTGCCTTCTTTCCATTAAGTTCTTCAGCGCAAGACTCTGCCAGCCTGAGCTCCCGTGTGCTTGTAACTGTAACAAGATCACCCTCCAAATCCTTGTACTTGACAAGAACAAATTTTGAAGATGGAAACCGCTTTGCCACAATTTCCCTCAATGTTTTGAAACTGCAATTAATTGGCATCTCAGAAAGGCGTATATCATGATCATAAACCAGCTTCAGTGGTCTCATTCTGGTGATGGTCAAAGATTTCACAGCCCCTTCAGAAGAAAGTTTGTTCCCATAGTCTGCCCTTGAAGCGGGCCTGAGGAGAACTGGAGATGAAGATTCTGATTTCAACTGAGGACCATTGGGGAGAGAGATGGCCACCGGAGTTTTCTCTTTCTCTACCACAATCTTTTGCAGCGGTGGAGGAGAAGAAGGTTTCTTGGTAGCAGGGCGAGAGGGGAGGCAGGGTCCAAGGCCCGCAATGGGGGCAGTAGCTCGAACAGCTGAAGCACCCAGAGCAGCGGGTGAGGGGCGGCTAGCGATGCACTGTTCCACATGGTGCGCGGGAGAAACGGAAAGAGCAGCACGCAGTCGGCGTGCGAGATCCAGAGCATCGGAATGCGAGGGTTCGAGCGTGAGCAAAGAGTTGACGTCCTGAAGTGCGAGATCATACCGTCGGAGTGCCTCAAGCGCTCGAGCGCGCCGGAGGAGGGCGCGGCAGTAACGCGGCTGAGCCTGAAGAGCGAGCGAGCACTCAGCGGCGACGGCCTCGTGATCAACCGGCCGCATCTGAAGAAGACAAGCAGCTCGGTTAGAGTGGAAGACGGCGCGCTCCGGGTGGCCGCGTGGGAGAAGTTTGAGGGCTAGTTCGTACTGCTCCAGCGCGCCTGCGTAGTCCTTGATTTGGAAACGGTTGTTACCTTCCTCCTTGAGCTCGTGAGCGCGTTTCAGAAATATAGCGGCGTCGCTTGCCGGGCCATTCGACTGCTGATTGGCGGTCGGCAGAGAAGCGGCTGTAGTGAATACTTGGTCTGAGGAGGTGCCGGATTTTTTCTTCCGGCCACCGGATTTCCCCATTCGCGAGTAGATTGGTAGCTGGAATAGGAATACGAAGGCGAGAGCTGAAACCCTAGAGAGCGGGAGAGTTCTTCTTGTCCATGTTAATGAAAAAAATTACACACACACCAACTTAAACTTTCTATTTACAAATATACCATCTTTTGCATTCAATTTTTAAATTCTCACTCAAATATCGAAATTCATAGTAAAATCCCAATTTTTATTTTTTTAAATCAAATTTTCCATAATTTAATGGCGGCGTAAATACATCGATTCAATAGTTAAAAAATCTGAATTGTTAATTTAAAAATATCACTGTTTTAGTTGGTCTGTTTGTACATAGTCCAAATTCACTTATGATAATGAGTCAAACAATTTCATTAAAATACAAGGTTTGCCCTAAATTTTTTTTTCTTATGTGAACATTTACATACATATCACACCATTTTTCTATATATTTATATATTTAACATTTAAACTTTCATATTTACATAAATACCATTCAAATCTTTAGCATCTCATAAAAAATACAAATATTATTAATTTAAAAAAAATAAAATACACATTTTCATACATAAATTTTTAAAACTAAAATGTCATAAATATAAATATTAAATTTTATTTATTAAATTTCATAAATTTGCTGTATTATTTTAGGTCTTTTTATGAAAAATCATAATCTATATAGTTACCATTTTCAATTAACATAATTAGGCAATTTAACTCATTCTTGGAAAATTCAACACCGTATACAAACTATGTGAAATTATATAACCTCGCCAACATAATAAAAACAAAGATTTTAAAAAAAATATATTTATATTTAATCAAGTTTATCATTCTTAATTAAGTGGTTAATATCATAATTCTCATATTAAACACAATTAAATAAATTCACAATATAATTTGATTTTATATAAAAAAAAGTGTTCACATGTCTAAAGTATATCTTTTGATCTTATCCTTTACTTGATGCCATATTATTGTATCTTAGATCTAGAGATATAAGAATTTAGAGACATTTACATACATACCACTAAATTCTCATGTATTTACATATCTGACAACTAAACTTTGATTTTCAAATTTTTACAACACATCTTTCACATCACATAAAAAAATACCACAATTTAAAAAAGTGATGCACATTTTCATGTATAGAATATGTGTCATATATATTAAAAAAATTGAAGCTTAGGTGTTTGTTTTGCAAATCCCTCAAATGCTGATAATCACGTTATATGGTATATATATATATATATATGTATATATATATATATATAAGGGTGGTATTTGAGAATACCACTCCCCTATGCAATATCCAACCAATTTAGTACCAGAGTTGATAAAAGTTACAATTTAAACCACACTCTTTTAGGGGTGTTTGATTGCATCCAAGTTTTACCTTAAATAGGATTTAATAAATCCGATAAATCCAGATCTTATTAAATCTAAAATTGTGTTTGTTATCTTTATGATTAAATCCGAACTCAGATAGAAATGTTTGGCGATGAAAGAAGCAACGAGGTAATGTGTCTTTCGTTCTCATTAAATCCGTTAAATCCAACTCTCAATCGGATTTACTGAATCCGGATTACCGTCAAAATGGAGAGTAAAATGGGATTTAGCCCAGCGCTGGATTTAGCTCCCTTATTTTCGTGTTTGTCTAGATTTACATTAAATTCAAGCAAATTCATACATAAATCACGTTAATAAGGTGCTATCAAACACCCCCTTAATGGGAACTAAAACAGTCCTCTCCTAAGTCTATTTTAGCCCGAATAAAAAGATTCTAGGACATAAATTGCGCTACAAATTTTGGAACTAAAATAGCCCCATGTAAATAGTGAGGGGACTATTTTGACACACCAATCTTCCATAGAATGTACCATAAGACGTAGCACCAAGAAAGCATATGCCAGACTTATGAGGAAAACACCAAACAATAAGAAACAAACTAACCTGCCAGCCGATGCCTCTGCTCAAAACATAGGCAGCAGTGGAGTTGCGATAGCTAAACGTCAGGCTGCTTTGTACGCCGTAGTCGACTGTAAGTTAGCAAAAAAGGTTAGAGAGCCATTTGAAAATAAGTACATAGCATCATAATAAATCAGGGGCATTTACATACATAGCACACAGTTCTTATGTTTTTGCTGCGTATGTAAATTTCCCAATAAATTACCTCTTCCTGAGACACTAACACAGCAGCCATCATAGCAATTGTGTGACCCGCGTGGAATGTTGGAGCCCCCCCATTGCAAAGGATATGGAAATTTGAACCTGAGGAAGCAAAGACCTTATCAAATTTCGGCCAACAAAAGCTCGCATCGAGCGGGTAAGCACATGATTTGAGAGTTAACCAAGGAGCTGATGATACGAGGTTCGCATGATCAGTACGGCAGTTTTCTTGAGTTCTAACCGGTCTATGTTGATAAGCGCCACCCGCAGTTTGAATGAGAGAAAATATCCAAATGATAGAGATGCATATCAGAACTCGAAACCGTTCAAAGATCAAAATGTTCCTGAATGGCCTGTAGTTCTATGTGATATTAAGAATTTCAGTGCTCTGCATGTCAATATAAAAGTTTAGGTGTTGGATATGTAAATGGATAAGAATTCTGTGGTATGTATGTAAATGCCCTGCTAACTTACTACATGAGGGTCTATAATCCGCTGCAATGACGAGTCTTGAATGATATAGAGTATGGGTACAACATAAGCAAATGAACCACCAATTACAGTTGGTAGACGTGTTCCAAACAATGCTTGCAGAAGTGTGTTAATGCCTGATACAAACAACAGTGACTGTATGACTCTAATCTTGTCTCCCAGTGATTGATACCAAATAAAATTGGTAAAAAAGTAGTTTAACAGCCAACAAATTACTAGGCAGTGGTGGAACCATGGGATAACTGGGGAAGACGCTCGTCAGCCCATATTTTTACTAAACCCTTTAATACCATATAATTCACTAAAAATTTTGCAACCTAAACTTAAATATTTAACAATAATTTAATATTAACTATACTTTTAATTTAATAATAATATGTATAACAATTTTAAAATCTTTTTAAGGAGATGAAACCTTTAATCTAAATACTCATCACCCTTCAACCTTAAATTTCGTCACTTTTCTCCTTAAATTTCAGTTCCGCCACTACTACCAGGTGTCAAGAAATGGACACAGAAGATGTCTTAATTGCAAGGAATAATTAATTACAGCATTTCCACCCATCAATGGAACAAGCACGGTTGGTATCATCACAGTTCTCCCAAGCATCAAGATGTAGTTTTGGAAAGCTAATAAAACAGTTTCAGCTGCAAAGCAAACAGCAGAAAAAATTAACTTGTTAGTAAAACCACCAACCAAATCAACCCTTCACAGGGAATATGATAATGTATACATGATTTTCTGAATGCAAAATGTTCCTCATACATGTTATACATAAGCATGATATTAGATTATGCATTGGAAAGAAATATGTTCTTTTTCTATTTATTAAATGTTCCAAGAAAATGATATGCTTTGACAAAATTTGTGCAAATAGAAGAAATATCTCATATAAAACAACTAGAAAAATAGAATTATTAAGAAAATGGTGTATTGATTGTATATAAAAATGTGCTTAGTGAATACCAATGAATAAGTGCCAATAGAGCGTGCAAAAATTTTGTAGACTGCAGGGCTTGTTGGAATGGAGAAGCTTTTAGGAAACGACAAAGGCTAAAAAAAACAACTTATGGAAGAAGCTTCACTCTTATTTATCACCTTAACTTGGCTTGATACAAACTCAAAGACTCCACCCCTATTTATACTAGTAGCACCTCCTAAATTAATGGCTAGGATTGTGCCACCACAATTACAATCCAATGGTTACAAATAATTCCACACCTACCACACAATAATTCAACACCTACCACACCTACCACACCTACTACACAATAATTTCATACCTACCACATATTCTAGAATAAGCTTCTAGAAATTAAGCTTTATTTAAACAACTAAAACCAAGTTTATATTTCAACACCCCCTCTTAAACTTGATTTTGTGACTCCAAGCAAACTTCTCATTTTAATAAAGTTTTCACTCTTCAGCGGCTTGGTAAAAATATCTGCAACTTGGTCTTGAGACTTCACGTACTGCACTTGTACCTCTCTTCTTTCGATGCATTCTCTGATGTAGTGATAACGTATATCAATGTGCTTGCTTCTATCGTGGAAAAAAGGATTCTTTGCTAGCGCGATTGCAGACTTGTTATCAGCACAAATCTTAATCGTCTCTTCTTTTGGTAAACTTAACTCCTTTACTAGATTTCGAAGCCAAATTGCATGACAAACACATGAGGTTGCAGCCACGTACTCTGCTTCACAAGTAGAAAGAGTGACAATTGGTTGTTTCTTTGACATCCAAGTGAAAGCAGTGTCTCCTATGAAGAACACGAACCCTGTAGTGCTCTTTATATCATCCATATCTCCAGCCCAATCACTGTCGCTATATCCTACAAGCTTGAAATTGTTGGATGATGAGTAAAATAAGCCAAAATCAATTGTACCTTT